AAAGGTTTACCAGACTGATCCCTCAGAAGGCAGGGCTGACGTGTGAGCAGAGACTGGATCAGTTAGGATTATGTTCACTGGAGTTTAAGAGAATGAGCAGGATTTCATCAAATCCTGTAAAAGTCTAACAGAACCAGACAGAGTAAATATCGCAGGATGTTCCCGATAACCAGGGAGCCCAGAACCGGGATCACTGTCAAAGGATATGGGGTAAACCATTTACCACTGAGACAAGGAGAATGTCTTCATCCTGAGAGTGGAGAGCCTGTGGAATTCACTATCAAACAAAACTGTTGAGGCCTGCATATTGTATAATTTCAAGAAGGAGTTGGATATAGCACTTGGGGCTATAGGAATCAAAGGAAATGGGGGAAAGGTGGGAACAGAATATTGAGTTGGATAATCAGCCAATATCATACTGAATGGCAGAGCAGGCTTGAAGGGCCAAATAGCCTATTCCTGCTCCTGTTTTTCGTGTTTCAATGACAGGGAACAGGGATCAGGAATGAATGGAGCAGGATTGAATACACCATAACCAGGAGATCTCTGTGACCAGGAGATCATTAACACTAACTGTGAGAAATTTGTTTTTTCTTTCTGAAATTAATACTGAAGAATACAGGAGAGGAATTAAGTACCATCACTGTCAGTAAAGAAGTTTTATTAGATAGGGCTACAAGCAGGTAGGTCCCCTGGCCCTGATGGCTCACATCCTGCCATTCTAAATAAAGTAGCTACAGAGATTGCAGATGTAATTTTCCAAAAATCCCTGGATTCAGGAGGTGTGCGAAGGAAAGCAGGTCTTGTGACACTGCTATTAAAAAAGGGAGGGAGGCAAAATGCTGGTATCTATAGCCCTATTAGCCTAACATTTATTGTTGGGAAAGTATTGGAATCAATTATTAAGGATGCAGTAGAAGAGCATTGGAAAATTATAATCTAATCAAGCAGAATCAGCATGGCTTCATTAAGGGGAAATCATGTCTCTGGGCTTTGAGTTACAGCAAGGTACACTCCTTCCTTTTGTTTTAATGCAATAGTTACTAGACGGGTAGTAATGGCCGTTAATGGAGTGGCTTGCACCTCCTGTGAGATGTGGGAGATCAGGGAGAAGTTAAATGTCCCTGACAGTGATGCCTGTAGGAAGTGTGTCCAGTTGCAGACCACACGGGTCAGTTAGAGCAGTGACTGGACTCACTGAGGAGTAAACAGGAAGCAGAAAGCTTTATTGTATCTCAGGGATGTGGTCACCACCAGGAGGGGTGGGCAGGCACGCAGTGCAGGGTTCTGCTGTGACCATTCCCCTCTCAAACAGGGATAATGTATTGGATACTGTCAGGGGAGAACAACAGCAGGCAGATCAGTGGTATCATGATTGACTCTGTTGTACAGCAGACTTTCTAGGCAAGCTGTAATGGTCGGGGACTCTATAGTTAGGAGACAGACAGGCATTTCTATGTACATGAGCAAGACTCCAGGATAGTGTGTCCCCTCCCTGGTGCCAGGGTGAAGGACATCTCTGACAGGCACAGGATATTCTGATAGTGGGAGGGTGAGCAGCCAGAGGTCATGGTCCATATTGGTCCCAACAACATAGGCAGAGAGAGGGATGAGATCCTGCTAAGGGAATTTAGGGAGTTAGGTAGGGAGTTGAAAAGCAGGACATCTAGGGTAGTGATCTCAGGATTACTCTCTGTGCCACATGCCAGTGAGGGAGAGAATGCAGTAAGTAAATGGTTAAAGAGCTGGTGTAGGAGTGAAGGATCCAGATAAATGGATCATTGGGATCTCTTCCAGGGCAGGAGGGACCTGTACAAGAAGGACAGGTTGCACCTAAACTGGAGGGACACAAGGTTTGTTAGTGACACTCGGGGGGATTTAAACTAGTGTGGTGGGGGCTGGGAACCAGAGCAATAGGTTAGCAAGTGGAAGGATTGAGGGGTAGGCAAAGATTAAGTCAAGTAAATCTAATAGGAAGAACAGGCAGGGCAGGTTAATGAACACAGTGGGACTGGCAATCTTTATTAGTATTATTTTAATGCCAGGAGTATAACAGGTAAGGAAGATGAGCTTAGAGCTTGGATGAGTACGTGGAACATCACAGAGAGAAGGTCAGGAGTGGCAGCCCAATGTTGCAGGGTGTAGCTGTTTCAGGTGAGATAGAGAGGGATATAAAAAGCGTGGGTGAGAAGCATTACTGATTGAGGAGGATGTCACAGCTGCACTGAGGGAGGATATATTGGAGGGCTGGTCCAGCAAGGCAGTATGGGTAGAGCTCAGGAATAAGAAAGGTGCAGTCACTATGATGGGCTCCCAATAGCCAGCGGGAGATAGAGGACAGATATGGAAGCAGATTATGGAAAGATGTAAAAACAACAGGGTTGTTATGGTGGGTGACTTTAACTTTGGGGAGGGGTTTTGGGGGTGGGGATCTGTAAGAGGGGGAGGGTGATTGGGGGAGGGATCTGGGGCAGATTTTTGAGGGTTGAGGGGAAGGAGCTTTGGGAGGATTAAGGGGTTTGGGGGAGGGGTGAGGGGGATTGGCAGAGGGATTTTGGGGGTTGAGGGGAGACGGATTTTGGGGGTTGAGGGCAGAGGGTGTTTGCAGAACACAGGGCATGGTGGCTCAGTGGTTAGCACTGCTGCCTCACAACGCCAGGGGCCTGGGTTCGATTCCAGCCTCGGGCATCTGTCTGTGTGGAGTTTGCACATTCTCCGTGTCTACGTGGCTTTCCTCCGGGTGCTCCAGTTTCCTTCCATAGTCCAAAGATGTGCAGTGTAGGTGGATTGGCCATGCTAAAATTGCCCAGTGTTCAGGGATGTGTTGATTAGGTGGGTTATGGGGAGATGGGTTTGGGTGGGATGCTCTGAGGGCCAGTGTGGACTTGTTGGGCCGAAGGGCCTGTTTCCACGCTGTAGGGATTCTGTGATAAAGCAACTGTTGTTAGGAAGCTGACAAGTGGAAAGTAACATTCACGCCACACAAATGCCAGGCTATGACCATCTCCAACAAGAGACAATCTAACCACCACCCCTTGACATTCAATGGTGTTACCGTCACTGAATCCCCCACTATCAACATCCTGGAGGTTACCATTGACCTGAAACTGAAATGGACTCACCACATAAACACAGGGGCTACAAGAGCAGGTCAGAGGCTGGGAATACTGCAGCGAGTAACTCACCTCCTGACTCCCCAAAGCCTGTCCCACCATCTACAAGGCACAAGTCAGGAGTGTGATGGAATACTCCCCACTTGCCTGGATGGGGGCAGCTCCAACAACACTCAAGAAGCTTGATTGGCACCGCATCCGCTCCCTCCCCCACTGACGCTCAGTAGCAGCAGTGTGTACTGTCTACAAGATGCACTGCAGAAATTCACCAAAGATCCTCAGACAGCACCCCTTCAAGTTCCCCTCCAGGTCACTCACCATCCTGACTTGGGAATATATTGCTGTTCCTTTACTGTTGCTGGGTCAGTATCCCGGAATTCCCTCCCTAATGGATTGTGGGTCAACCCACACCTGGAGGACTGTAGCGGCTCAAGAAGGCAGCTCACCACCACCTTCTCAAGGGGCAACTAGGGATGGGCAATAAATACTGGCTCAGCCAATGATACTGACATCCCACAAAGCAGCACAGCTCTGCAAAGGCGATGCGTGAACAGGGAAAAAGCAAGACACCCTCATTGGTCATTGGTCTGGAATAGAAAGTGAGATCTTGATAAATTCTCATAAATTAACTGGATTTCTCATTGATGAACCTGAATTACTGAAAGTGGTAGATTGATTGTGCAATGCCTTCATTTCAATGGAAATTAGGCTGGCTCCCAATCCCAGGAAAGTCATCACTGTTCAATGTTTCAGGGTTCCCAAAGTAGTTAAAATACTGAGATGTGGGAACTTTATCAAGTTCCCAAATACTTCAGACAAGAGGAGATTCAAATCCTTGCTTTTCCTGCAGGTTTTGAGGTATTTCCCATTCTGACTCCCCAGATCCTTGAAACAGAAAATGAAGCACAGAGGGGTTGCTAAGTAACCATCATTACAAGGCCTCATAGTTTTTTCCAAAACCTGGATTTTTTGCAGGTTAAGACATTAAACCACATCTTTTATTTCCCTAAAAGCTTTACTAGACTGTTTTCTTAACTTAGGAGGACTTTCTGTAATCAGCAGGTGGATTAACATCGATAATGAAATGAAGATAAATACATTTCTAAATGATGTATAAACTGTTTTTAGAAGTGTGTTTTTATCATTATAGAAACATTTGACCTTGCACATTTATGAACTCAGTATTTCAGGGACAGAGAGATGGGAGTTTGCACCTCACGGTGTGACTGTAGAAAGGAGTTAGTTCCACAGGAAGTTCTCCTCATCTTTTCAGTGTCCAATCACTGTCAGGATTTGTGAAGTTCTGACACAGGTGCACAAGTTGAGGAGGGTATTGGGGGGAGGGGGTGGGGGTTGTTGGTAGTGAACATCACACTCACAACCAACACACGACGATCTCTCTTGTCTTGGCATTCAGAGATGACTTACACTGCAAACTTAAAACTAAGAGATAACACAGTGTAGAGCTGGAGGAACACAGCAGGACAGGCAGCATCAGAGGAGCAGGAAAGTCGACGTTTCGGGGTCTGGACCCTTCTTCAGGTTTCCTGCTCCTATGATGCTGCCTGGCGTGCTGTGTTCCTCCAGCTCCACACTGTGTGTTATCTCTGACTCCAACATTGGCAGTTCTTACTATCCCAAACTTAAAACCAAGCCCTTTTCATTGGGTTTCTAACAGAGGCTGCCCCTCATGGATCCCACACACACAAACACTGACCCTTTTCTCAGGAGCATGACACTGAGCAATCAGTTTGCTTCATGATGTTCACTGTGTTCCGCCTGTGTGGGGGGGTGTGGGGGCGGGCACTCTTCTTTTTTCAGGAAATTACTTTGCCAGTCACTTCATCATGGGAGGAGAGAGGTTCGACTCGACTCATCCTGAAGGCTACCTGTTTGGAGAGAACAGTGACCTCAATTTTCTGGGACTCCGCCCAGTACCTGTGAGTATTGTGTAGAATACATCTTCTGTACGTCTTTATTATTCTAACACACTCAACTGTATTGGCTCAAGCACGTGTTTAGCTGAGGTTTGGACTAATGGGCAAGTGACATTCGCAATATCCTGCTGTTATTTAAAATTCCCATTTCACCTGCAGGCAGTACTGCCAACAGGAATTCCATAGGGAACATGGGCTGTTTCCTCATTGATGATGATTCACTTAGAGTTTCTAATTGAGTTCTGGAATGTTCTTCTCTCATTTCTGAACCAGTGTGGAACTGATCCCAATAAATCCAGAAACCACACTCTCCAGGGCACGGGTAATCACGCGGTTATCATTCCCTCAGGGGCCACAGTCGCAATCCTTCCTTGTTCTATCCATCATGTTTATCCCTTCCTGAGAGTGTGGAAGAGAGAGAGAATCTCAACTCATCGCCTTCCTCTTGGGATTGTAGCACATTGATTCGGGACATTGTGATAGTTTCTTACGGGAGGAAATAATGAAGGAGGGGCAAATGAAAAGTTGCAGATTGTTGTGAGGAATTACTAAACGTGGGAATTTTGCTTCAGTTTTACATGAAATGTTGGTCAGTAATCTGGAATAGTTTGTACTGTATTAGTCTCTGTCTTTATAGAAAGATGTCAGTGGGCTGGACACTGTTCAAAGAAGATTTAACGACTTATAGCTGGAATGGTCATTATTTTCTGAGAAAATATTGGGCAGACTGGACCTGTGGTATAGGAACCTGCACATTGCAGCATGGTATAGGAAGCTGTACATTCTAGCATGGTATAGGAACCTGTGCATTGCTGCATAGTACAGAATCCTGTGCATTTGTGCATGGAATAGAAACCTATGCATCACAGCATGGTATAGAAACCTTCACGTTCCTGCAGGTACAGGAACCTGTGTATTTCTGCTGAAACTGTACATTGCAGCATGGTATAGAAACCTCAGGATCCTCCATGTTTCAATAAAATCACCTTCTAAACTCCAAAGGAAACAAAGCCCCAGTCTTTTTGACCTTGCCTCAGAAAATAACAACCTGCCCATTCCAGGTATGAGTCTCTAAATCTTCTTTGAGCAGCATCCTCCACATTGACATCCTTCTGTAAAGAAGCAGAATCCCCAGACTGGGCCTGTTTCCTTTGGATTTTTGAAGGTGATCTCACTGAAACATAGAATTCATACAGTGTGGAAACAGGTCCTTTGGCCCAACAAGTCCACACCAAACCTCAGACCATCCCACCAAGACCCATTCTCCCATAAGCTACACATCCCTGAACGCTATAGGCAATTTAGCATGGCCAATCCACCTAACCTGCACATCTTTGGAATATGTGAGAAAACCAGAGCACCCAGAGGAAACCCACACAGACACGGGGAGAACGTGCAAACTCCACACAGACAGTCACCTGAGGCTGGAATTGAACCCAGGTCCCTGGCGCTGTGAGGCAGCAGTGGTAACCACTGTGCCACCATGCCACCCCACATGGAGGATCCTGTGGGGAATTGACAGGGATTCTGCTGAAAGGATAGTGCCCCCTGTGGGTGAGCTTGGGCATAGTTTAAAAATAAGGGGTGACCCTTTAAAATAGAATAGAGGAGCATTTTTACTTCTATCGGCAGGTTGTGTGTTTTTGGAAAAGCTCTTCCTCAGAGTAAAGTCCATGTGTTTCTATGTTTGTGCATTTTAAAACTGGACTGAAATGAGAAAGAGATCTTTGAAACCCAGAGATTTACAAGGATGGCTGTGTTAAAGGTAAGGAATTTGAGACCTTTTGTGAACTCTGTTGGTGTCGTGCTGGTTTCCAATACGCAGACGAACTGGAACCAAGGAATTGTTTACATGTGAAGCTGATTGGTTTGTGGACTAGGGACCAGTTCTCAAGTATGTGATTGGTTGTGAGGAAGCTGAACAGATGAGGCTGTGAAGAAAACAGAGAGAACTTTGTCATACCAGAAGAGAAACCAGCAGGTTTGCAGCTGTCAAAGAATTCTGTCATTCTCAGTTCTCTGCTGTAATCCATTTTAAACCTGTAGGAAACCACTGTTTCTTTCCCTCAGCAGATGCTGTAAGTTGTAAGTTTGAATTGGAGAAGTCAGGGATGTTTCAGAAGGGAATCAGCCACCCTGTGCCTCGAACAAACCAATGGATGGAACGGTTCTCCCAGTTTTCGTTGATGTTACTCCATCTCGTGCCACCCTCCCATCCTTCTCTGTTTAGACACCCTACACTATTTTGTTCTGATCACCTTCCCAGTCCTGTAGCAACTGTACCACTTTACCTGAACATACCTTGTTGCTGAGCAGGTTGTTCTGAGCAGGTTGTTGCTGGCCAGGAACCTTTTGCTAGAGTCTCTGGGAAAAGCTGCTTCTGCAGATGTTATTTGACGAACACTAGGTCTCAAAACTCAAAAACCCTATTCTCCGATAAAACAATTGATTGGAATTTTTTCTGTGTTTCATGTTTTTGCAGTTTCCCTATGCTGCTCCGCCCCCTCAGGATCCAGTGAAGACATTGCGGAGCCTGATAAACATCCGGAAAGACACGCTTCGACTGGTCAAGTAAGGAAATAAAGTGGGAATGTTCATGGTACAGGGTCTGCCAGGATCCGTCACCTCTCAGTGTGATAGATGGCTGTAGGAGAACTCAAGGTGATAGTGCCAAGTGAGTGCTCCAGACACAAAGCAGCACACACAGCAGGATGTAGGAAGCTGGACATTGCAGCATGGTATAGGAATCTGTACATTGCAGGCATCATATAGGAAGCTGTACATTGCAGCATGGCATAGGAAGCTATATGTTGCAGAATGGTATAGGAAGCTGTACATTGCAGCATGGTATAGAAAGCTGTACATTGCAGCATCATATAGGAAGCTGTACATTGGAGCATCATATAGGAAGCTGTACATTGCAGCATTGTATAGGAAACTGTACGTTCCAGCATGGTATAGGAAGCTGTACATTGCAGCATCATATAGGAAGCTGTACGTTGTAGTTCGCTATAGGAAGCTGTACGTTGCAGCATGGTATAGGAAGCTGGACATTGCACCTTGCTATAGGAAGCTGTACATTGCAGCATTGTATAGCAAGCCGTACGTTGCAGCATTGTCTAGGAAGCTGTACATTGCAGCATGGTATGGGGAGCTATACGTTGCAGCATTGTATAGGAAGCTGTACATTGCAGCATGGTGTAGGAAGCTGTACGTTGC